GCCTGTTGGTGCTCACGCTGCTGCTGTACACGGCGCTGCGGTGCTCGGCGCCGCCCACTCAGGGCGTGTGCGGGCCGGGGAAGCCCACGCTGGTGTGCTCCAGCGCGGTGGGGAGCTGGTCGTACTCGCAGCAGAAGCGGCAGAGGGTGTGCTCTGGGGAGGGCCCGCCCAAGACAGACCTCATGGCCTTCAGTCCCAGTCTTCCTCCCGATCTTGATAGAGAAGATGACGGGGAACGGCAGGAGGCAGGATCAAATCATCCTGGGCAGGTGAGTTCTATGGATTCCCTCTCTTTTGAAGTGTAAGTTAAAAAAATGTTTAAATCGTTTATTTTATAGAAAAATTTATTGAATACTATGTATTTTGAGTATTCTTTTAAAGAACAATGTCTCTTAGTGAAATGCCGTATGATACACATATCCAGTTTGGACCATATGAAGAATCCGGTTGTTTTAGCCAATAAATGCCCTATTTCTCCTAATGTTTTGTTAGAAAATGTGAAAAGAAGATGCAAGATTTACTTTCCTGTTATTACTTAGTTAGAAATAACTTCTAATCATTACTGATATACTCAAGTCAGTCACTTCATTTTGTCTCTAATCCTCAGGAATATAGATAATCACTATGGATCATCTCATCCTCTTTATCTTTTAACAGGCTTTTTGGCCTTGATGTTTTCATGTTATTGGATCACTTGACTTTTCTCACTTCAGGCTTTTATCAAAGATAGAACACTGTCTTCATTAGGTTTGAAAGGATTTACCTTTTTTTTTTCTTGTGGTGTTAAACACTCATCAGACATTTATTGTCAATTAGATAATCTTTAGTTTTACCTCTACTGATAAGATAAAACCTGCTTTCATATTATTTGCAGTAAAAAAAAATGCAGTTTTGAATTCTAGTATGCTGCTTACATTGAAATAATGTAACTAAAAGTTCTATTTGTTTTTATTTTGTTCCATGAAGTGGGTAGAGATTTACTCATATACTCCATACTCAAACTGAACTCCTATATTTATGCTTCCAAAGTAGACGAGGCAAATAAGGTTATTATATTTATATTACTCAAGTAATTAAAACTTGCTAAAGGCATGGATGGGTATAGGCTTATATGCAACATATGCTCTTTGGCATTTTTCTTAAGTTTTTTTTGGCTTCATCTAGAAAAGAAAATGTTAACTGTATTAAGGTGAAGCCTATTGACAACGATCAGTTTCATCCATCTCACCTATTAAATTTCTTATCTTTAAGTGGTTTATCTCTAATGCTTGTGAAATTTTCTTTCCATGCCTTTAAATTACATCTGAAGATTCTAAAAAAAGATAATTTATACCTAGGTCATTTTCCTAATTCTGTGATTCTTAACTATAGGTAGGGTGGTAGAATCACCGACTTCTTTGAGACCCTAACAAAAATCTTATGTAGCCATTCTCCCCTTAAACTTACACAGAATACATTTTGGCATAATATTCCAGGACCTCATTTTTGGATCTCAGGTCATGAACTTTTGTATCTCAATCTTAATTGGCTAAAAACATTCTTTATTTCAAAGTAGGCAACCAGATTAAAATAAATACTTCAGACTCAAAAGTTAAACCATCAAACATATAATTTATGAAACTGTAAACATAATAAATGTAATGTTAGGTAGGGCACACATTACCCATCTCCAAATGAAGTTCTTGGAATGACCTTTAAATGTAATAAACAAAGATATTGGAATGTTTTAAACAGTTTAAAATTTTACAAATCTGATATTTATAGTATACATAAGTAATCAATGCACATTTTCAATAATTCCAAACTACATGGACTAATTTCTACAAGTTTAGTATTTTTTATACTTATTATAGTTCAGGATTATATTCTATGTTGTAAAATTATAACTCCAACCTATTTTCTAGTTTGATTGTGTAGGTATTAAACTAAATTTAAATATTCCTATGTGTTCAATAAGTTAATTATGTCTAAAAGTGTGTGAGGACTACATAACACACTACTTT